AAAAAAAAATGGTAGCGATTCGAATTTATAAAAGTTGGGTCGTTATAAGATACACCTTATATTTATTATTTTTTTGTGTAAAACTGACTTCTGAAAAGTGTTTGAAATGAAATTGGAGACATGCAGGTAAAATACACGAGTTAAATGGATGCACATGTTAAAACATGTGACTAGAAGTCAATTTTGAATTTCATGTGTTTATCTTATTATTCTAAACGTGACTTTGATATTTTGAAATGTTTTAGAAAATTTTGCAGATGAGGAAATGTACAAGCAGAAAATAAGAATTTGCAAATATTATGGTACCAAATTATTGTCCAAGAGGGACATGAATATATTGAAATCCATGGACATATATAAATAAATCATCGAGGCGGACAAGCTTAAGACTATAAGGGAGTCACCTCCGGGAGTAATCCAACATTTATGATTGGAAATCCCATGAAAAAGGTTCAATGCGGTAGAAACAACTCGTGCTGCATGATTTGTAATAGCACTACTTATATTGTGCTCATCCGTATGGTAATAGTGCTAATAATAATGTGATGTTAAGAAGGGTTTAACCCTAATGAGTATCGATATGAAAATTCTCGCCGAGTCACACATGTCCTTGGAGAACCAACTTATGTAAGAGTTGCCATGAGGCCGTGGCTATGGGATTGGGTTATTCCCTAAAGACTCTTACTAGAATCAAGATTTGAGTGTATGGCTATTAACAGCGCTATCCGCTATAAACTGAGCCTAAATCAATATTGTGTGTAGAACAATTGAAGTTTGACCAAAGGGATCTAATTCAAAGCTTAGTTCATTATGGCTTCCTCAAATGGAATTTGTTATCGCTAAGTGGGATTCAAGTCCAAAAGACACATCCACCTATTGCACAGTATTATGTTGCCTCTATTATATATTTTAATTATTTTGAAAGTTTGAAACTTGTGGGGAATTGTTGTAACTTAAAATTAAGTTTTAACCTTTCATCATTTAACCTATTTAATTTTCTGTTTTTATTTACTTAATAATCACTTATAACACAATTAAAACATCATAATTCATGTTATAACCTCTATTTTAATGATTTAATTGTGGGGATTAATTTTCACTTATAAAAGGTGGTTACGTCTCATTGAAAATGAGTATTCTTTAGAATCACAACTTGAAAAATAAACAATATATACAACTATCTCTATATTTTGGCAACTTAATGAGAGGGTCATTCACCTATGTCCCTATGGTCATGTCCATAGAAGGAGAGTCACATAGGTTTTATCTTGAAGTCATATAGTGTCGAAAGAACTTGCATGAAGGGGAAACAACATGATTTTAGGACAACGTCTTTGACATGACTCCCAAAATTTGCTTCCTAAATCTCTTCTCTATTTTATATTATTTTATTCTTGAATTGTATTTGTTATTTTATTGTGTTAATTGATAATAAATCTATACAAAAGTCACCCGATTTTTCCAACAAAAGATAATATAAGACGGATAGTTACAGAACAAATGGTGCTATACTTATTGGAAATTTAAACCACAATTTAGGATAACGTATTTGGACTTTGAGCATTCAATTTCAAAAGAGAGAGAGGAAAAAAGAAAGTACTCATTATTTCAAAGAAACAACAAAAAAGTAACTGCTGCTGATTGCGGTCAAAATACTACAATGAAACAATTACAAAAGTACATGTCCAATGTTCATTTATATTTTGGCATCCAATGTGTCAATAATGTACAACAACAGCATAATCTCAATAAAACACTTGAAATAACATTGCAACTTAGTCTTCTTTTCCACTTTGTTAGCTAGAAACATCAGTGTCCTTATCTTTTAGCCCAACCTATCGGTGAAGCTCCAAACAATGACAGTATTAGCTTAAAGATGTATGAGCAATTAAAGTCAAGAAAAATGTATGGCTAATTGGTATGATAATATTCAACTCATTTCAAGCACTTATATTCTCTTTAGTCTTCTATAGTCTTGTAATTTCAAGAATTTATATTTATATTCTCCCAACTTTGGAAAGATACTCTAAATTTTAACCAGAAAATTATACACATAGAAAATCTAGTTTAAATATCTGCTTCACTTATTTTGATTTTCTCTAAAAGATTTTGCCAACTTCATATTTGGTAAACTCGCTATTAATAGAGATGGGCGAAGCAAAGGAGCCTATGTAAGGCTGCAGCCATAACTATATGACGTAGATTTCCAGTTATGTTACTACACTACCTCAATTATAACATTGACTGTAAAGGCTAAGACATGGAAGGAAGAGAAGAACCTGAAATCCATTATTTCCCAAGCGTGTTTTTTCTTCTTCTATGAATTTTGCTGAAGTCACAACAGATGTACTATTCTAAATCCATTATTTCCCAAGCGTGTTTTTTCTTCTTCTATGAACTTTGCTGAAATCACAACAAATGTGCTACATTCACACAACTCGATTTTTTGAAGAATTGGTATTTTTCCAATTCCAGAAGGGATCTCCACCAGGTTGTAGCAGTACTGAAGACTGAGGCGCTCAAGATTTGGGAAGTGCATTTCATCAACTTTCCAGTGTTCCAGATCAGTCATGTGTATGAGCAGCAATTTTAATCGACGAAATTCCCCATCATTTGATTCCCAAACAGGGCCTTCGAAGGCATGGTATTTGAGTTTCAGCACTTCGAGGTTGGACAACGAACCAACAACAGTCATAATTTTCCAAGATAGTCTGCAGCCACTCAAAGTTAACCTTCTGAGTTTTTGTGGGAAAGCAAAGTTCACTGGTAGAGGATCCTGATATTTTATATAAGACTTCCCAAAAAAGAAGCATTTCAAAACTTCAAGTTGAAGAAGATGGACAAAATTGTCAAAACAATAGGATGACCACTCAGTTCGCCCATCATGCTCGTACGAAATTACCAATTTCTTCAGGTTTGGCATCATTTGAATGACCTCCTTTGTCCATCTGAAGTTTATAACATTGGTAAGTGTTTGTAGGTTTTCCAAGGGTGCAAAAGTTCCCCCATTCAGTGCATCAGTAGGATAAGGCAAGAAACTTATCACGAACAAGAGATGCCTCAATCGTGACATCTTCCAGATTTCCAGCGGTAGGAATGATGTATTAAAGATGGATCTCAGTTTCCCTGGATTAACAATTAAAGTCTCCAGATTGCGAAGTTTGGATATTGACGAAGGAATCCTATGCTTTGCCCAATAAGTCAAAGCAATAAACCTCAAAGTCTCCAGTTCAACTATTACGATAGGAAACTCGTCAAACCATATTGTGAGTGCATCCAATACCCTCAGTAGCCGAAAACTCTTGACAAAATATGTACCATGTGGGCTATTGCCAAAAAAATATGTAACAGAGCGGATACGTAAATCAAGATTGTCTGCAAGATCAAATTTGGGGATTTGATTCTTCAAATCTGAGAGAATACTAATGTGTCGAAGATTGTCATGGACTTCTGTAAGATTCTCATCATCCGAATTAAACTTCTCCTTAGTTTTCATCTGGCAGAATTCCCTCAAGGCATCATGGATGCAGCAGGTTTTGATTTCACCACTATAATTACACTCACGAACCATAATCAGATTTCTATCAATAAGGTCTTTTAGATACTCCTCTGCCACCTCTTCCGAGCTTTTCGATCTTTCTGGCTTTATAAATCTATTGGCAACCCATAATTTTATGAGTTTGGATCTACGGATCTCATAATCTTCAGGGAGAACACCCATATAAAGAAAACATGCTCTCAAATGATGGGGCAACTGGTAATAGTAGAAAGATATAATGCCCTGGATAGAGAAATACCCATAATGTTCTGCATTAATATTTTGTTCAACATAACTCCAGTATTCTCTTGTCCTCTCGGCTTTGTATAGGAGACCACCTATCAGGACAATTGAAAGTGGAAGTCCTCTGCAATGATGTGCAATCTTTCTACCTAATTCCTCCAATTCAGGTGGACAACATTCTTCACCAAATACCAACCCACGCAGTAGCCCCCAACACTCATCGGTATATAGAAAGCTCATTTGGAGAATGATCGAATTAGGATCAGCATACTCAGCAACATTTTCTAGTCGACTGGTTAACAAGATCCGGCTTCCATTACTGTCATGAGGAAGCAAACTTTTGACTTTTAACACAATCTCTCCATCCCACACATCGTCCAGGACAATGAGGTATCTCTTGTCCTTCAAACACTTGTATAGATTCTCAGCTAATTTTTCTGCACTATCTTGGCTTGATTCTTGTTTGAAGCCTCTTATGGAATGCAGAAGGCGACTGAGTACTTCTTGTACATGATAATTTTGTGATACCGTTGCCCATGCACGAACATCGAAGTGAGATGCAATAACCGAGTCATCATAAATTTTTCTTGCTAGTGTAGTCTTGCCAAGGCCTGGCATCCCAACAACTGAGATGATATTGCGTTCTGAGGACGAACCAATTAGCTGATCCTTAACACTGCAAATCTCGTCTTCCATTCCCACAATAGCATTCCTGTAAGTGGAACAAGCAGGAGGAAAATTGTTCCTTGGTTTCACAATTTCTAAGTTGTTCCTTTCCATCATCTTCACCAACTCTTCCGAAATGGAAGTTAGTTCTTCTATTACCTTCTGCAAGCCTTCGTATTTCTGCTCCCACTCGGAGACAGTCTGATTCGACATATTGGATTCAATTATATCATCAGCTTCATACGCTGCATCTCTGATTCTTCCTTTCAAACCACTAATATTCTCACTACTTTTCGGAGAAATAACATCCAGAAAATCCACCAAGAAGTTAACCTTTTCATGGAGAGATCTCATGATCTGTTGCTCTGTATGATGAAGATTTCGATATTGATCCTGAGGATGCAGGATCTGCTCTAGTGTTTGAGCAAGTGAAAGTAGAGATGCATAAGCCATCTCAATGGAAAGAGGAGTTTAGGTAATGTCTCAAAAGGATGTAAGGCAACCTTGAGATCTCAATGGAAGACGAAGGTTAGGCAATGTGAAAAGGAATAAGGCAACTTTGAGAGAAAAAGGATTTTAGGCAATAAAACAAGCAATACTTTAGACGCAACAAGAAAGCAATAAAACCTACAGCAAATCATGTGCAAGTTCCTGTTTTTCAATTGAATTTTGGCAAGATTACAATATTATATAGTTATGTTCTTTGTAGCTCATAATTTTCAGACGTTAGTCAAATGAAAACTCTCTTAACCTTTTAAACCCGAATTTGTTTGCCATCTTATTGTCAGGTTGTGTATGTTGCTACTACAATAATTTTGCAATAATTAAACTTCATTATAATTCTAATTTCATGACCAACAGAATTGATTCTTGTGTTATCGGGTAAAATTATGTGTTAAAACACGCCATAAAATTTGTAATTTAAAAAAGAAGAAAAAATACTGTAAAATCTCTCTATGCATAAGGTTGGGGCCAAACTAATTTTATTACGAATAATGCTCGTTGTACACCGAGCCTTATAGCTCGGTGTACATGTAGCAAGGCCGTTTTAACTGCATTTTATGCATTGATTCGGACTTCTATTTTTATTTCTTTATTACTAGACTAAGCGAATATCTAGTTAATTAGTGTAAGTAATTTTAGTTTTAGGAAATTTCTCAACTTATATGCCATTGGCATGAAAAAGGTGAAATTGGAGTTATAAATGGATTTGATTTAGGGAAATTTAAGATTAATCGGAGTGCACATGATCAATTAGAAGAATAAATAGAGCATTCAGAAGAAATTCATAAGTTCGTGAGTTAAATTCAACAATTGAAAAGTTTCAATACTAAATTACAAACTTTTAAACTTGCATCAAATCGATATTTAATGATTTTTGAATGTGAAGGATTTAATTGTACAAAAAATAAAAAAGAAGAAGTAAAACTGCAATTAAAAAGAGGTTCAAGCCTAAAAAGGGAAGAAGGTAGGAATTTTATTGAATCGAAAGTTAAAATTAGGGGCTTGCAATCGTAAACCTTTAAATACTACAATTGAAAAAATTAGATTCAACTTTGTCATGATTTCTACTTAATCCATTTCGTTACGTCAAAAATATATTGCAAATTAGTGGCCTTTCAGGGGGCCATTCAACAATTACATAACAAAATGGTAAATTTTTTACACACAAGTAAGCAGTGTCCTAAAAAAATAGGCTTAGACAGTGTCTAGGCGCGGACGAAACTCCTCGCCTTAATATTAAGCGAGAAATTAAACGGTCAACCACTTAATTAGCGACTTGCCTAGACGTGATTTATTATCATTTTTTTTTCCTTTTAAAATCTTTTTATTTTACTTTAGTTTATCAAATTTTTTTCCTTTTACTAAAACCATTTTATTTCATTTTGTTTCAAGTTTTAAATGACTTTATCTATACAGAAGTCAAAAAT